TGACACTTTGTCTCACGGCGTGGACACCGGAATCACAATAAAAAGGTGTTTTTTTTTTAAAATTTCCCCCCAGCTGGATGAAGGCCTCTCAACTCCAACACCGCCATCGTCATCACCGCCACCTCTCCCCGGTGGCGTTTGCGCGGTCGGAATCCACGAGAGCCCAACGGATGGCGACGCCGCACGCCACGTCACGCTCGGCCTCGCAGTCATTGACAGGAAATAAACACAGTCCCGTGGGTGCCCCCCCCCCCTTGTTCAATGCAAAACTTTGGCCCCTCGCTCCCTCGCACACGCACACACACACACACGCGCGTGTGCCGATCGATGTGCGCGTTCTCCGACGATAAGAATCAATGTCAACGTCGACTTCCCACGCTATGACCCTGTTACAGGTCCAGCTCTGCAGGCGGAACCACGGGTGCCTGGGTAGAGACACTCTCCCCTCTGGGTGTCTCAGTAGAGACACTCTCCCCCCTCTGGGTGTCTCAGTAGAGACACTCTCCCCTCTGTGTGTCTCAGTAGAGACACTCTCCCCTCTGTGTGTCTCAGTAGAGACACTCTCCCTCTGGGTGTCTCAGTAGAGACACTCTCCCCTCTGGGTGTCTCAGTAGAGACACTCTCCCCTCTGGGTGTCTCAGTAGAGACACTCTCCCCTCTGGGTGTCTCAGTAGAGACACTCTCCCCTCTGGGTGTCTCAGTAGAGATACTCTCCCCTCTGGGTGTCTCAGTAGAGACACTCTCCCCTCTGGGTGTCTCAGTAGAGACACTCTCCCCTCTGGGTGTCTCCGTAGAGACACTCTCCCATCTGGGTGTCTCAGTAGAGACACTCTCCCCTCTGTGTGTCTCAGTAGAGACACTCTCCCCTCTGTGTGTCTCAGTAGAGACACTCTCCCCTCTGGGTATCTCAGTAGAGACACTCTCCCCTCTGTGTGTCTCAGTAGAGTCACTCTCCCCTCTGTGTGTGTCAGTAGAGACACTCTCCCCTCTGTGTCTCAGTAGAGACACTCCCCCCTCTGTGTGTCTCAGTAGAGACACTCTCCCCTCTGTGTGTCTCAGTAGAGACACTCTCCCCTCTGTGTGTCTCAGTAGAGACACTCTCCCCTCTGTGTGTCTCAGTAGAGACACTCTCCCCTCTGTATATCTCAGTAGAGACACTCTCCCCTCTGGGTGTCTCAGTAGAGACACTCTCCCCTCTGGGTGTCTCAGTAGAGACACTCTCCCCTCTGGGTGTCTCAGTAGAGACACTCTCCCCTCTGGGTGTCTCAGTAGAGACACTCTCCCCTCTGGGTGTCTCAGTAGAGACACTCTCCCCTCTGTGTGTCTCAGTAGAGACACTCTCCCCTCTGTGTGTCTCAGTAGAGACACTCTCCCCTCTGTGTGTCTCAGTAGAGACACTCTCCCCTCTGTGTGTCTCAGTAGAGACACTCTCCCCTCTGTGTGTCTCAGTAGAGACACTCTCCCCTCTGTGTGTCTCAGTAGAGACACTCTCCCCTCGGGGTGTCTCAGTAGAGACTCTCCCCCCTCTGGGTGTCTCAGTAGAGATTCTCCCCCCTCTGAGTGTCTCAGTGAGACTCTCCCCTCTGTGTGTCTGGGTAGAGACACTCTCCCCTCTGTATGTCTCAGTAGAGACACTCTCCCCTCTGTGTGTCTCAGTAGAGACACTCTCCCCTCTGTGTGTCTGGGTAGAGACACTCTCCCCTCTGTGTGTCTCAGTAGAGACACTCTCCCCTCTGTGTGTCTCAGTAGAGACACTCTCCCCTCTGGGTGTCTCAGTAGAGATACTCTCCCCTCTGTGTGTCTCAGTAGAGACACTCTCCCCTCTGGGTGTCTCAGTAGAGACTCTCTCCCCTCTGTGTGTCTCAGTAGAGACACTCTCCCCTCTGTGTATCTCAGTAGTGACACTCTGCCCTCTGTGGGTCTCAGTAGAGACACTCTCCCCTCTGGGTGTCTCAGTAGAAATTCTCCCCTCTGGGTGTCTCAGTAGAGACTCTCCCCCCTCTGTGTGTCTCAGTAGAGACTCCCTCCCCTCTGTGTGTCTCAGTAGAGACACTCTCCCCTCTGGGTGTCTCAGTAGAGACACTCTCCCCTCTGTATATCTCAGTAGAGACACTCCCCCCTCTGGGTGTCTCAGTAGAGACACTCTCCCCTCTGTGTGTCTCAGTAGAGACACTCTCCCCTCTGTGTGTCTCAGTAGAGACACTCTCCCCTCTGTGTGTCTCAGTAGAGACACTCTCCCCTCTGTGTGTCTCAGTAGAGACACTCTCCCCTCTGTGTGTCTCAGTAGAGACACTCTCCCCTCTGTGTGTCTCAGTAGAGACACTCTCCCCTCTGTGTGTCTCAGTAGAGACTCTCCCCCCTCTGGAAGTCTCAGTGAGACTCTCCCCTCTGCGTGTCTCAGTAGAGACACTCTCCCCTCTGTATGTCTCAGTAGAGACTCTCTCCCCTCTGTGTGTCTCAGTAGAGACACTCTCCCCTCTGTGTGTCACAGTAGAGACACTCTCCCCTCTGTGTGTCTCAGTAGAGACTCTCCCCCCTCTAGGTGTCTCAGTAGAGACACTCTCCCCTCTGGGTGTCTCAGTGAGACTCTCCCCTCAGTGTGTCTGGGTAGAGACACTCTCCCCTCTGTATGTCTCAGTAGAGACACTCTCCCCTCTGTGTGTCTCAGTAGAGACACTCTCCCCTCTGTATGTCTCAGTAGAGACACTCTCCCCTCTGTATGTCTCAGTAGAGACACTCTCCCCTCTGTGTGTCTTAGTAGAGACACTCTCCCCTCTGTGTGTCTCAGTAGAGACACTCTCCCCTCTGTGTGTCTCAGTAGAGACTCTCCCCCCTCTAGGTGTCTCAGTAGTGACGCTCTCCTTTCTGGGTGTCTCAGTAGAGACACTCTCCCCTCTGTATGTCTCAGTAGAGACACTCTCCCCTCTGTGTGTCTGGGTAGAGATGCTCTCCTTTCTGGGTGTCTCAGTAGAGACACCATTCCTGCGAGAGACAAAAAATGTAAACTCCTCGCCTCATGCTTAATGTAATCTATCTCGCTGCAGTCAAGAGTGCAGCCGAGGTCTTGTGTGTTATATTCCTCCGTGTTTTGCTGAAAGACGCACGTGACACATTTTTCAGAAGTGGCTTTGCTGATTTTGTAACCAAGGACACAGATGCCGTATTCTCCAGATTATAAGGCCCTCCGGAAAGTAAGACGCATCACACCCCTCGCCTCCAGCCAACAAACTTGTGTGCCCCGAGTGTCAATAACGTTACACAACAACAACAACAGCAGCCGCCATTTGCCACTAAGTGGCGGTGACGTCACAACGGCCAGGTGCCCACAAATCTGGTCACACACACTTAGCTCAACTATTTAATAGTTTATTTTACTCCTACTTTTATTTTACTTGGTGAGGCCCCGCCGAGCCATACGCGACCTGGCTCTCACAAATGATGGCTCAAGATGAAGTGGTTTAGCATCGCGTGGAAATGCGTAGCAGCAGCCAAATATTAAAGTGCAAGGTGGCTCTAAACACATACCGCGCGCAGTTCCCGGATTACAGGATGCGATGGACCCCCCCTAAATTTCATTTTTAAATACAGACGGGGGAGGAAGTGGGGGGGGAGAGGAAGAAAGGGCATCTTTATAATCCGGAGAAAACTGCACATGTATATTGTTTAGAATATATATAGATTTTATGATACGTGTGTATATATATCTCTCAACAATCAGGTTACACTGTCAGGTAAAAAAAAAAAAACCCATGGAATTTGTTAAGGTACGACCTGAAAAAGAATCAACTTTGTTTCACGGGCCTTGGAAAATGTTCACGAAAATAAGCCAGAGAGAGGTGGGGTTAGCGAGAGAGAGAGAGAGAGGTGTTCCTGTTATCTTCTTATCCTTATCCTGCCCAGGTATTGTTTGTGCATCGTGGCATTTACTGCCGTTTGATTGGACGGCGGTGATGCGTGTGTGTGTGTGAGCGATTGGGCACACCAGCCCCGACCTCAGCGGGAGCCGGTGGTGAAATTAACAGAGTTCAATGTCTCAGTGGAAACATTAATCGGGAATTAGCACGATTGTGTGCGCGCGCGTGCTTAATGACACACGCCACTTAAAGACAAACAAAGACAAAGGTTCTCACCACCCCCCCGCTCCCCCCTCCCTGTGTAGCCTACACAGACTGTTGGGGGCAAGTGCTGTTAGCGAGTAGCAGCACCTGTGCAAGGCCGGCACTGTGGCACACGAAGGAGGTGGGTGGCCAGCAACCATGCATGCCCGCCGCCTTCGTCTCCCCAGTGGCGCGATTATTAAGGTTGGCTAAGTACGGTGCGAAAGAAGTTCAACGTACATTTACACATCGAATCTGTTATTTGCAGATTCAAATGACTGTTGCCGTTGTACTGATGAGTCCTAATGAGGATGAAACCGCTACACACGTTGTCGATTTATCTCCCTGTCTCACCGCTGCCTGTCCGCAAACTCTCGATCGGTTTTGACCTTCCGGGTCTCATCAGCAGAGTCGGGCTTGCGAACACGAATGCTGCCGGGTTGCCAGGTGTCATCGTGGCGAGATGTTAACTACCTCGCCTGGTATACAGGAGGTCGTGGGTTCAATCCCGACCCAGACCGCTGCATATTTGGAGTTTGCGTGTGTCTCTTCCCGTGGTCGCGTGGGTTATTCTACCGGTTCCTCCAGTGTTTCACTCCACATTTAGAAGCAACATCACGCGTTTAAAGTATTTGGCTGCTATAAATGTCCACATCACGATAAGCCACTTCGCTGAGCTATCATTTGTGGCCAGGTCACTTTTGAAAAAGGACTACATAGCTCAGTGGGCATTACCTGGTAAAAAAAAAACAAATAGTTTAGTCGTTTAATAGTTTAATAATTAAATACGTTATTGGCAAGAACACCTTCATCTAAACGAGAGGGTACCCTGGTTCCAATGGGGACGTGAGACGTGCATCCGTGCTCGCGATGCGCACGCGCGTGGTCTCGTGCGAGTTTCACCTGAATCTGCTGCTGAAGGACGTTGATCTTCTGTTGCTGCTGCAAGAGCTGCTGCTGTTGACGGGCGATCTGAAACAAGACGTAGGTTCAGAAGGCGCCTGTTGAAAAAAAATATATACACGTAGATAATGGAAATGTATACGCGCGTCGGATGACTTGCGCTCAATGCTGCACGGCAGTCGGTCGCCTCCTTATCACTCCGCTATCGCTACTGCCATGGTGACGGTTCCCGTGACCTTCATTCATTGATCCCTCCATTGTCGATGATCTGGTCTACCAGACTGGCAGTTTCGTCTCTTCCACATTGTGTTCAACCACCACAAAGACAAAGATCCCCCCCATATAGCCTGAACAGACAGTCGGGGCAAGTGCTGTTAGCGAGCAGCACCTATGAAGGCCGGCACAGCACACGAGGGGGTGGGTGGCCAGCAACCACACTGACATTGCCTCCCCAGTGGCGATGTTAACACACCATACAAGGTTGTCATTTGAGGCCGAGTCGTCTTAAGAGAGAACCAGGGCCGATTGGTGTCGGCCTTGAGCGGGAATCGAACACGCTACCGCCCCCCCCCCCCCCCCCCCCCCCCCCCGCTACCGCCCCGCCGGGCCTCGCCGCTTGCCTGCTCCTGCTGCTGGCGGGCGAGGTGCGACGCCTGGCGCTGGCGCTCCACCTGCGAGGCGGCCACGCGTCGCTGCTCGTCGTGCGCCGTCAGGATCTGCTCGCGCAGCGCCGACAGCTGGCCCATCATGGCCGCCAGCACGCGCTCCTTCTCCGCCAGGCTGTCGCGCGAGCCTGGGGAACAGGACAAAGCGGTCAGCACCTGTTGAGTGCCACCCACGCCCCCCACACCCCCACCCCACTCACCCCCCCCCCCCACCCGCAATATTAATACGACTTGTATTTACATCGCCGCCCGTAGGGTGACTGAACGCCAGGTTATTTTTTTATTTGACCAGGGTAAGGCCCACTGAGCTATGTGGCTCTTTTTCAGAAGCCACCTGGCTACAAATTATAGCTCAACGAAGTGGCTTATCACGTGAGAATTTACAGAAGCCAAATACTTTAAAAACACGTCGATTCTGTAGTGTGGAGGGAAAGCACCGAGGATCCCGGAGAAAAATCAACGTGACCGCGGGGGGAGAGAGAGAGAGAGAGACACGCAAACTCCAAATATACAGCAGGCATCGTCAGTGTCGGGAACGAACCCACGACTTCCTCCATACCAGGCGAGGTAGTTAACATCTCGCCACCGTGACGTTATTCGCCTAGGGAACCACCCCCTAATCACGGCTTTGTCCCTGTGCGGCGTGAAGTGACCACTGGCACCGTTCAGCAAGTGGGCATTTGTCTATCAAGAGAGTGGGCGGGAGGTGCATTTTGCTGTTCGTTATTCCACTTCGTGAATTCGCCAGCAAATTTATCAAAATCGGTGGGGGGGGGGGGGAATTTGGACCGTGACAACCGGCGCACGAGCGCTGGAAAACCACCCAGAGCACCGCGAGGGACCCAAGCCGTGCCGGCGCGACTCGGATGTGGCAATGGAAAAGGGGCACGCGGCGTCTCATCAGCGCTGCGGCCTCGTAAAGGAAACGCTACCCGGGGTTGGGCTGATGGAAACGGCCACGGTGGGTTCTCAACCTCTTCCGGCTAAACCCCCCCAATCGGTTGAATTTTGTTTCCGCCGAGTGAATGCCGCCTTGCCTCTCCCGACATGGTTTCTGAGAAATAAATGTTACGAATAATAAAACATCAACATTTTCACCGGTTGTCCATCTTGCGAGGTATCCGAACTAGCGAGTAAAAGCAAACGAGTTCCAAAAAAAATTTCAACGGACGCTCTTGCCACGTGCGACGGGAGTTGTCCGCGCTCGCTGCTTCCTCTCGGAAACCAACATTGTTTACGATCAGTGAGTTTAGAAAGGTCTTCATCATCGTTCTAGGTTACCACAGGGATACACATTTTATTGCACTCATTTTATATTGGCAGATTCACACGTGATTATTGACCGATGACTCTCATGTACGACACAATTTCGCACATTTATAAATTCAGCTCACGCACCGCCTGGGACATTGCCACGCGTAACCCCCAGGGGCCCGCGTGGCCCTGGTTGAGACGCGCCGTCATGGGGTACATGCCGAGGCGGCGTACACCGACGATTGTGGACATTCTCGTGAACCCTGCTCAAAGTAACTCTGTTGCTGCATGGCTAACTTGGAAGTGCAGTGTAGGGAACGGGCCAGGCCTGCTTCGTGCATCGACTGACACCAGCGTCGACGCCTCGGCCGTGAAGCAAAGTGCTCGCAGACACAAAGACCAAGTTCGCCCGTGTAGCCGCTAACAGACCGCCTGGGCAGGTGGCTGTCAGCGAGCGCCGATGAAAGGCAAGCACTGCGCAAGACGGGGCTGTGTGGCCGGCGACACACCCCGCCGCCTTTGTCTCCCGCGGCGCTAACAAACTCACAAGTCGCGCCTCGGTGCTCATTTAGAGGCCGAGCCGCACGAAAGGAGGTTCCAGGAACGGGTTTCAGGCAATCGTCACCGTAGATGGCCGTCAGCGGGAAGTCGAACATCGGCGTCGCCGGGTTCGGAGTGCGGCGCGCTGACCGTTTCGCCGCCGTTCCCACCATCCCGGAAAATACGTGCGCACGATCACGCACGCGCAAGCACACACAGTCTTCTATATTTAAGCAAAAAAAAGTTGCGAGGATTCATCCCCACACCTCTCCCCCCCCCCCCGCCCCTCCCGCAACCTACGCACCCCCCCCGCCCCCCCCCTAAAAAAATGAGCATGGGAGAGAAAGAATCCAAACACGTGGGTGTGAAAAATTTTCAGAGCCCACTGCGAGTATTTCGCGACAGTAACTGTGTGCCTTGAAATTACAAATCAGCCCCGAAGACAAACTCTCTGCACGCGCTTTGAACGGACGCGCGGGGTGGGGGTGGGTGGGATGGGGGGCTCATCGGTGCAGCTCCGATCGCGACTCTCCGCTCTTTGGTTCCTGACAACCCCCCTTCCCCATGGTCCGGGTCGAGACGAGCTTTCGTGCATCTCGCCACCCCCCCCCCTCCTGCCCCTCCTGCCCCCCCCCCCCCCCCGTCCGCTCCATCCAATTTCTTTACGGTTTGAGCCTGGGTCTTATCGACGCGAACGTGTTATCGTTACGCGTGTGGGTCGTCTCCGGGTACTCGGGCTTACTCCCACTCGCACACAGAATGGGCTGGGGGGCGGGGGGGGGTGATACATTTCTTAATAAATTAAAAACTCTTCTCAACAATGACAGGGGGGCGGGCGAGTTTTGCCAAGCAGGACCCTCCCGACCGAAAGGGGTTTTGAGACCGGGGGCGGCACTTTCATTCTGGGGTCACCAGCGAAGGCGCTTGATTAGCGGTGTACATTACCGACGTACAGCAACAAGGGCATTGACAAAGAACACGCAAAACAGAGCTTGCAAAGTGCGCAACGGAACAACTTGGGGGGAGGGGGGGGTGAGGGGTGGGGGGGGGGCCCACGCTTGAAATTACACCGAGGGACGGAGAGCGGAACGCGTGGATTGGAGGGATCAGTGAATTGTACGGCGTATAACTTTGGCCGCTTAAGAGAGGCGAGCGGGGGCTTGGTGAGGACACGGGCGCGAGAAGGGACGACGGCCGAGGCTTGGAGACTAACGGTGGAGCGGCAGCCCAGGGAGGGGACACGGCCCGCGAGGACGTCGACCGGTGGCGATGGGAGCTGGAGAAGTCACCCGGCGAGCAGGCGCTGCTGCATGGACGGATGCGTTTCAGGAAAGCGAGAGATGATGGCGACGGCTTTGGGGAGGCCTTTACCTAGCAGTGGATAGATCACGACTGGTGGTGGTGGTGGTGGTGACGACGATTAGAACTGGGTTAGGTCCGACGTGAACCGTTTAAATAGCAGTGCAGCATCTCCTCTTGCACGTGGCCACGTAACCCACGATCTCTCCCACCACCCCCCCCCCCCCCTCCGCCCTCCAAAAGATCCCCAAAATATCCGAGCATTGTGGAAGGATTCTTACTGTTGTTCGCCACCCAGAAGTGGTGGTAAATTCATTCGATTGTCTACAATGACTAATGATTATGAATTGCTTTATTATTATGAATTATTCACGGGTAAAAGTCATCCAGCAAGGTGGCTCAGCGTTTGAGCGTTCGGCTTGGAATCGCAAGTTCATATCCTCGTTGGGGGGGGGGGGGGTCGACTGACCAATCAAAGAGCTTTAGAGCTCATCAGATTCCTCCAGTATAAATATTCTGATTCTGAAATGGGCACGGTTTTGCGGAGAAGTCAACAGTGGTTGTCCTAAAAAAAAAAAATCCATACTGCTGTGTTTGTTCTGGTGTCAAGGAAGTAGTGAAAAAAATCAACCTGTTATCCGCATTTTTTAGCGGATAAGAGCTACCCAGCTAGCCAGCAGTGGTCCTCAGAGATGTGTCAAATCGATTCGGTCAACAGCATCGTTAAAATGGATAATGAGAGGCGACACAGAAGCAGTGACAAATGTAGGCCTTTATTTTCAAATGCGGATATTAAGAATTTGACAATCGGATCCCTCCCCAGCCCGCCATATCTCCAAAGACGAGAGAGCCGTTTCACACTCTACGGAGCTTGCGTGTTTCAGCGAATAACACACATGGCAAAAACAAAGAAAAACTTCATTAAATAAATATATAATTCCATGAATGTTCCTGCCGAGTTTGTTTAAGTTTACAAAATGTGTTGTTATCTAGACACTCCCAAAATTTTTTTACAATTTCTTTTTTTTACAATTCCTCCCAACCCCCCCCCACCTCTACAGTATTTTTTAAAACAATCTGTCAAAATGCTATCTGATTCCAGGGCTGTTGGAGGCACTCCCAAGACCCACTTGCTCGGTCAAACGCACCCAACTCACCGATAACACCACGGCTCTCCCCCCCCCCTACTCCCCCCACCCCCAATTTTTCTCCGACTCCTCTCCGCAAAACTATTTGAATCCATCTTGCGAGCGATAAGCCCACTCACTACTGTACACGACAAGCGGGTCTGCGACGGTATATATTTTTTTATTTTTTGCCTTTGCTTCACAGTATTTCGTATCGTCAGCGTCGCTACGTAGGATCGCAGACGCAAAGCTGGCATACCAATACGGTGCGATGCGGTTCGGATTTATACGGCACACGCTTCCGTTGGCCATTCTCTAACGCTTGAAGGGATTTCAGCCGTAGCTCTATGATATCCTCCCAACAGCGAAATACCTCCTGCTTTTGCAGATACAGGGGGTTGGGGAGGGTGCCGATTTGCAGATCCTTAATGTTCGCGTTTTATCCGTGAAACTGAAGGCCAAATATGCGTTTGTGTGGATAAATGCGGACAAGAGGATGCGTTTGTTGCTGGTGCTGGATCACCTCTGTTAGCCATTGCATAGGTGCGTTAAAAGGATCAACTTAACGCACCTTAGAGACTAACATTTGAAGGGATCTCAGGTGTAGTTCGGTCATATCTGCTTCCGCGGGCCGTTCTCTAACACTTCAAGGGATCCCAGTGGTAGTTCTGCGACATCCGCTTCCGCGGGCTCTTCTCTAACGCAGAAGGCTGTGCCGCTCTGCGAGGGTTCCTGAACAGATCGTTTGTCTCGTGAAGTCGGGGCGCCCAAAGCACGATCGGAGATACAACTTTGGCGGGCGGGGGGGGGGGGGAAATTACAAAACAAAATAAATATTTTTTTAACCTTTAAACTGTAATAAAAGAAAAAACCCCACCACCTACACAACCCATATTTTGAAACGACCT